TCCCTCCAGTGTCCTGTTTCCCTCAGTTCAGCAGGGAGGGCAGGAGAGTCTGAAGGGGGCTGTGGGAACTGATTGTTGCTGCTCTGCTGGTGTGAGCTGGGACCTGGGCCTGGGGGGTGCAGGGAGCTCTGCCCAGTCTGGACAGGAGGAAGGTTTGGGCAGGAGGGAGCCGGGCTGGGCAGCCCTGAGGAGCCACTTCTCCTCTTCATAGCTGCAGTTTGGAGGACCCCTGCTGGGAGCATTGGACAATGAGCATTTCTGGGAGCTGGGTCCCAACACGAGGCTTCAGCTGGGCAACCCAGGGCACCCACATCTGCAAACTGGCTGCTAATGGAGCTGAGTTTGTATTTGGGTGGAACTGGGCTGGATCCATCAGCAACCTACCTTCCTTGTGCTGCTTCCTCTCTACTTACATTCTTCAGGTTGTAGTACCTGAGCCTAATGTGTGAGCGCTCACACATTCCTCCTCTCTTTGCTCTCCCTTTCCCCTCACCTGCATATCCAGGGTGCAAAAGCTTTATTACAGTTGCTGTGCCCTCGCTTTTCCTCCTGGGTGAGGCAGCTCAGTCTGTCCTGTCGGCTGGAGTGCAATGCATTGCTCTTCTTCTGCACTGCCCTCCTGTCTGCTCCCCACACGCTTCGGGAGCACCTCCGTGCTGTCCTGGCACCCTTCAGTTGGGGTAAATGTCAGCTAAGGCAGGTGGCTGTGTCATTTCTTCTTGATGTTGAGGGGATGTTCTGCTGGATTTTGCCACTGTGTATGCAAATCCCAGCACCACCTTCTGAAGTGGGAACTGGGTTTTAATGCACACTCTTCAGAATCCCCCTCCTTGCTTGATGCGCTTCAATCAGCTTAAGGAGCTCTGGACACTCCAGGACCTTACAATTTGGCTACACAAAGTAATGGTGAAAAAGTGCCACAACCATCTGTTGATAACCTTCTATTTTTTGCCTTTTTTTTGGCAGGCTGATTTGAACACCAATATTGACGATGAATCCAGATCTTTCTATGGTGTTTCCAGCCAATATGAGAGTCCAGAAAACATGGTCATTACCTGTTCCACCAAAGTGTGTTCCTTTGGAAAGCAAGTAGTGGAGAAAGTGGAGGTAGGGATCTGACACATGGGTGCAAGATTCTCTCTAGCTGCTGTTTTGTCACTTCAGGTATTTATATCCTGCGTATATCTCAAGGCAAAATATTCTCCATGCTTGTTGTCAGGGAGACGGATGCCACAGATTACTATTTGTGAGACATGCAGGCATAAGATTGCTCCAGCCTGCAACATGTCTCTGTCTCAGGACTTCACTGTCGCTCTGGTGGTGTTTGCTATTTTTCCCTTAAATCAGTTTCTGAAGGCTTGTGAATGTGTAAGACACTCAGCTCTGGTAGTTCCCTGGGTTTTTTGAGGGAGCAAATTAAAACTAGGAAACCCAGTTTTGTAGTCCAGAAAGGTTAAAACAAATAGGCAACACCTTACTTTCATCAGTGTTTTTAAATGATCATAGGCTATAGCCATTAATTAATAGGCTGCAGTAATTGGCTGCTGCCTTACAGCTTTGGGAAGCTGATCGTATTGCTGTCACCTCAGGGCTCAAGCAGAGTGGAGCTGCATAGCTGTGCGTGTGTCTGGGGTGGCTGTGTGCAGGACACCAGGGGGCCTCGTGTCAGCAGCCAGTTCAAGCCACATTATTCCCCAGGACCCACCTCCAGTCAGGCAATAGTCATGCCTGAGGTCTGGCCATGCCCTTGGTGGTGGTAGAGCTAGGCCACAGAAAGGTGTCGTGGTGCACAGGAAAGGAGACCAAGCTCTTGGAGTGGAAGGAGGTAAAGGGAATTTAAGGGTCTGCTGTGAAATAATAGAATCCAGCTTCAGCATCTGCTCAAAGGAAGATGAAAGACCTGGGAGCTAAGATGTGAATGTGAACAAAAAAATCCCTCTAACATTGGCCAGACCCTGTCACACAGGGGGGCGGACGTACTGTGTTCTCTCACAGACACTGGAAGGCATAAGTCCTTCCCAGCTGTGAAGCATCCTTGAGCATATGACTACCACTGTCACTGGGAGCTTCCTGGTCTTGCTAAAGCAGGAGTTGTTCACTTTTTCCATTTATTCACAGCTAATATTTCTCCATTAGAGATACAGACCATAGTATAGCTGGCAGTTGCTCTGCTCCTCTGACTCACCCTTCACAGCTCCTTGGCAGTTTGCTTTAGTCTTCTAAAGAAAAAAATGGAGCTGAAGAAAGTGGGGGGCTCCAGGAGACAGACGTTGGTGCAAAGCACTGCAGAGGAGTGATTCAGCAGCTCGTTACTGTCAGTGAAAGGAGCTGAAGGTGCCAGTGCAGTGCCCTCTCTGCAGCTGCTGTGTGCTCAGTGCTGCCCTGGCCCAGCCCCTGCCCGTTGCGTTGCAGACGGAGTACGCGCGCTACGAGAACGGGCACTACTGCTACCGCATCCACCGCTCCCCGCTCTGCGAGTACATGGTCAACTTCATCCACAAGCTCAAGCACCTCCCCGAGAAGTACATGATGAACAGCGTGCTGGAGAACTTCACCATCCTACAGGTGGGACTTGCAGCTGGTTTGCTTGGAGCTTGGAAACACGTAAGCCCCAGGCAGGAGTTACTGTTTTGAGACAGCAGATTGCCTTTCAGAGCTCAGCATCCTGAACTGTGTCTCGTGTGTATTGCACCTCAGGATCACTCATGGAGCTCTAGAGATAGTAACCGTGCAGACAAGCAGCAGAAGAATTTGAGAGACCTGAGTAAGAGAGAAAAAAATGAAAGGGAGAACTCACCAGCTAGAGCTGTAAGGGAAGAAGGAGGATGCAAAATCAGTGAAGGAAATGCTCATTCCACTGCTGGGCAGACACTGAGGTCCTTCGTGGGCCTTGGCCTTTTTTATGTGATTAAAAAAACCCAAAACCCCAAACCAACAACCAAACGAGCACTGTTAAGTGGCTGTGTAATTTTGTCATGGGAAGAGTTCTTCACTCACCAGGTTGTGGGGGAAGTTGTTTCCCCAAGGACCATCTTGAACCTGGAAAGAATACAGAGGCAAGTGAAGGAAGTGGCACGTTGGGGGAAGCTCTGTGACACTTCCATGAATCACTGCAGCCTCTGGGTAGGGCAGTACCACAAGGCTACAGCAGCTAGATTTGCATTAGTGTCTGTTATATCAGGAGTCTTTCCAGGCTCAGATGCAGCCTAAATTTGGGAAGAGAGCAAAGACAGCTTAAAAGGTTGTGAGTTTCTTATTGGAATGAGTTCTGTGCTCACCTCTACAAGATGTCACAGATCTTTGCCCAGAAAACTTGAGGTTGGGCAAGTAGAAGAGATGCTAGTGGCTGTGTGAAAGAATGGAAATCAAGTGGTCTTCATTCCATTCTCTGGTGATCTTGTGGGACTTCAGGAAACTCATTTCACTGCTCTGTGGCTCAGGAACCTCAGCTATGAAACACAAGGTTAATACTATAACTCACAGGGCTTTAGGAGGCTTTATTTTTTCATGTTTGTAGCAAGGTCTTTACCATTTGGAAAATGCTAAGAGGTTTTTTTAGATAGAAAAGGCATGAAGGGGGCAGGGACAGAGAGGTGGAGGGTCTGTGTGACTGGTTTCTGTATGTTTCATTTCTAAGTCAGGCCAGTGCTTGCTATGAACTTTATGAACAGAGTTGTCATAACGTTATACTTCTTCTGGGGCTTTGTTTTGAGTAATCTCATGTCCTTCCCTTACCTCCTGTCACAGAGTCATGTGTCATGTGGGTGCTGGCACAGCCTTTTATATATTGCCTTGCAGTCCTGTTCCCTGAGCAGCAGACTGAGCATTTTCTACCCCCTGCTCCCCACTGGAGAGCTGAAAAATGGTCATGCTTAACACAAGGCCTGCTGCTAGTCCTCAGTCCCCACTACCAGCTTCTGAGGCAAGTCTAATTATCATTTTTCTAGACCCTTTCATGGACTTAAATACCCCTAATCTCCCAAGCATGATTTATCTTGCTTTGCACATTGCTGTGGCTCTAGCCCTCCAAGACTTCAGAGCCTGTTTTTCAGAAAATGCCCCATCACACCTGTGTGTAACTCAACAGCCTGCAGAAGAGAGGAGAAGGGTTAGTTCAGCTGCAAACTGTTATTAGTTCTGCAAACCTAATAATGAAGAAGAGAAAACAGAGTAGACCAAAATCATGCTGCTAAGGTTAATAAGGAAGACTGAAAACAGCTCTTTTCTGTGTTCACAAGAACAGCTGGCCTTTCCTGCAGTTCAGGTGTCCAGCTGGTGTGTTTTTCTTCTGCAGTTCAGGTGGTGCTGCTGATCCAAACGTCTCTTCCAGCAGGAGGGAGCTGCTCGAAGCTTTAGCCACGGCACAGACTGGGATGACAGGAATGTGCAAAGTTGTGCAGTGGCAGAGAGGGAAGCTGAGCTAGGAGCTTTGAGTGCAACATTTTGCTTGTCCCTGCCATGGAGTGTAGCCAGTACCTGATCCTGAAACTAGGACAACACTGTTCCATCACCGTGCTGCTGACACTCTGCAGGGAGGCTGAAGTTCCTGAGGGACCATAGAAAAAGAAATGGGGGAAAAAGTTTCTGTAGGAAGGCAGGAGTGTGACAGCCATCCTTCTGACATCTAGAGTGTATGGAATGGGAGGTGTGCTGGAGTCAAACCTGTCTCCTGCACAATGAGTTAGACTCTATAATCTTCATGGTCTGTGTCTACCACTGACAGGCAGGAGTAGACAGAGGGAAAGAACTTGTCCTGGCTGTGATGTATCAACACGTGAGCAGGAGTGGATGTGCCACGGGAGGTGACTTCTCTGTACCAAACAAACAGCAGGAAGAGATTTTCTGTGAAAGACCTTCTCTGGTGAAGTCTGTAACACCAAGGTGTGGGGAGTAGAGGACCTCATGCACCTGCTTCCACTTCTGTGGTCACTGCCTGGTCACAGATTTCTCCACAGTAGGCTCTGCTCACCTCCCTGTCTCTTCACAGCACTGTAGTCTGATGCTGCCAAAGTGTTCTGCTTGGGAGCGAGGGCACAGACTGGGGGTTGTGGTGGCTGAGCTGTGTATCAGTCTGTGCTTCCCTGTTCTTTGCCTGTGACCTTTTGCTCTGTTAAGTGTGCTGGAATACGTGGGCAGAGAAACAGCAGTTGCCATCTCAGCTTCTTCTCCTTTTCTGCCTAGGTTGTGACAAACAGGGACACACAGGAGACCTTGCTGTGCATAGCATATGTTTTTGAGGTGTCAGCCAGTGACCATGGTGCCCAGCATCACATCTACCGGCTGGTGAAGGACTAGAGACTGCCCCGAGCCACCCGTGGGATGCCTGTCTGAGAGAAGAGCCTGTGCTTTACAGCCCCTGCCCCTCCTACCAAACTGAAAGAATAAACTGCAGATATTATGTATTTTCAGAAAAGCACCTCTGAGCTCTTTTGTGATCGACAGTGAAACACGTTTGTAGCTCCAGGTTTGTGCAAATGGGGAAAAGACTTGGAGTCAAACAGGTAATAACTGCTCAAGGGTTTCACCACAAACAGCATCCTCTGGAATCTGCTTCCCACAAAGCACACAGAGGGTGTGATCACACACGTAAAGGGGTGGGATGCCCCTGAGCACACAGGTAGGGCAGTGGCAGCAGCTTCCACAAGTCTGACCACATGTGAGCAGCCTGAAAATGTTCATGGTGCCACCAGCTGGAGTGTGGGCCTGGTGTACACCCACTGGTGGGTCAACACGTGCACAGAGGTGCTGACCATGCCACACAGCTGTCAGTTAGACGTGTGGCCACACACAGGTACAGAGATTGCACATGTAACCTGTGTGCCTGCCTGTCCCGTGTCCACCCTGGCTGCTGTGCTGTCACAGGCTGCTTCAGCCTTCTTGCTCTTGGAGCCTGGATACTGCTTCTGTCTTCTGTGCATGAGGGTGGGAGGCCAACCTTTCTTTGGTGGAGGACTCCACCACCTCCCTGGGCATGCTGGGCATGAGGGTGGGAGGCCAACCTTTCTTTGGTGGAGGAATCCACCACCTCCCTGGGCAGCCCCTTCAGTGCCTGACCACTCTCTCAGGGAAGAAATTCTCCCCAACATCCAATCAAAACCTCCCCTGGTGCAACTTGAGGCCATTTCCTCTTGTCCCATCATCAGTGATTTGGGAGAAGAGACCAACACCAGCCTCACTACAACCTCCTTTTAGGTAGCTGTAGAGAGCAACAAGGTCTCCCCTCAGTCTCCTCTTCCCCAGACTGAACACCCCCAGCTCCCCCAGCTGGTCTCCACAAGGCCTGTTCTCCAGCCCTCTCACCAGCCTCGTTGCCCTTCTCTGGACCTGCTCCAGCACCTCCCTGTCCTTCTGATCCTGTGGTGCCCAAACTGGACACAGTATGTTGAATGATGTCTTGCCCAGCAAATCTCCATGTATCAGGTCTGCTAGCAGAGAGCCAACAACACCCCTCAGCTTGGTACAGTAACAAAGCTGCTGCTGCTGCATTCAACTCTGTGCCCAGACTGTTGATAAACGTATTAAAGGGGACTGTCCCTGGCATGGAGCCCTGAGGACACCTCTGCTGACTGGTCAGACGTAGCCCCATTTACTACAAGCTTTGGAGTTCTGCCCTTGAGCCAGCTCTTCCCTCAGCACACTGCAGCTGCTCGTGTCACAGTGTCAAAAACCTGAGTGAAGTACAGAGGAACTACAGCCACGGCCTCGGCCAGCAGGGGAGTGACTTTATCACCTTTATCACCTTTATCACCTTTATCACCTTTATCACCTTTATCACCTTTATCACTTCAGCAGGGTATCAAATCAGAGGGAACTTTGTGAACTTGTCTTGACCACTGCCTGGCCACGGGCTGGGACATACATAACCTGTGCTCTGAAGCCTGGGAAGGGAAGGGTGTGGAGGTAAAGAGAACAGCAAACGTGATGCCATGAAGTCAGAGCTGGAGAAGGATGGTTTGATTATTATGGGAAAAGTGCTTTATTTTTTACATGTAATGAAGTATTTTTCCCACCAGTCTTGCAGACCCTGGACTCTCAGAGGCTGCTTTTAGCTCTGCAGGGCTGGTGCTGTTAAACTTCTCTCTGCATGAGTCAGAGGTGGATAGTAAAGTACAGAAGCACTTTTTGCAACTGCTGAGTGAAATCTGCACCCTCTTGTGCACGAAGTCCTGCCGCGGCTGCCCCCTCCAAGAGAAACACCTCCCTTTAAGACTGACTTCCAAACAGCAACAAAGAGCACGGATGCCAACAGCTTTCCATAAGAGCTGTATGACTGGTGACCAGAACACAGCTCAAAGACAAGCCGAGTACTTTAAGCACCTAGAAAATGGAGCACATCCAAATGTTTTCTGAAGACGTGAAGAGCTGAAAATCCATGCCAGGCACGTCCTGCCCTCACCCATCGGGTGTCATCGCTGGCCACAGCAAGGGGAACAGAGCACCCCGGACACAACTAACCCAGTGCAACCCAGTCAGCCCCACAGGCAGCTCTGCAGGTGTGTGACAGCAGC